CGAGGGATGATATATTCCACCTCAGCCAAACATCTTACCGCACTCGGGATGACATCACTTAATATTTCTGACCCCTGTGTTTCTACATTTCTTCTGACTCTGAAGGTCTACGACACCTACATGCGTGGTTCATCCTCACGCCTTACATAACATGCACCCAATCCCACGCAATGACAATTGACGCGGTTCCGACCACTGTTTGAAGTTTTTTAATTTCAATCTGAGTTTCCTATTATGCCGGGACAATCGTTCTCTCTTGGCATATTGCTGTACAGCTCATCCCTCGAGCCATGCATGCAAATGTCAAAAATAAACGTTAACGGCATCAACTTGTTGAGTTGTGTGGGCAAGGTGATTGCCCGAATCCTGCTCAATCGCCTCGTCAGTCAGGTTGTGGAACCTAACGTGGTGGAAGATCCGTGTGGATTCCGTTCGGGTCGCAGCACTATAGATATGGTGTTTGCGGCTCATCAGTTGCAAGAGTAGTGCCTTAGACGCATTACCATTGCAGATAGCGTTGCTTCAGCGCCAGATCGAGGAACTCACTTTAAACCCTAAGCACCGCAACCGGTCTGGATCATCGCCTCGTCACACAAAACCTAGTGCCACAGGTTACTGTTTTACCACTCGCGTTTCGGTACCAAAACCCGTAAGTGTGTACAGCCGTGTAGCTACTCCGCTATAGATGATCCGCCACGCCGGCCTGCAATGTCCACGAACGTCAGCAAAGCTCAAAGTCTTCTCATCTACATTATGGATCATGACTCCGATACCCAGTTCTTAGTTGATACCGGGGCGGAAGTAAGCGTCATTCCCCCTATGCCAGGTGAGCCTACCGCTTCTCTGTCGACAAGCCTTAGTGCCGCCAATGGCATGCCAATAACCACCTATGGTCATCGGTCACTTACGCTGGACCTAGGTCTTCGGCGCACGTTCCGCTGGGTATTCACCTTCGCTGCAGTCTCCTTTGCCATCATCGGCATTGACTTTCTCAGGCACTTCGACCTCTTGGTCAATGCGAAACGCCAGGTGATAGTCGACACTGCAAAAGCGCTCTGCGTACGTGGTATCACTGCCGATGTCACATCTATATCCCCGGTCTATTCATTTCCCCAGACCTCGCCAGACTACGCTAAGCTCTTTGCTCAGTATCCCAAGCTGGTTCAGCCAATGAACGCAGCTTTGCCCATGGCAGCGCAATTCACGCACCACATACGGACGAATGGCCCACCTGTGTCATGCCGTCCACGCCGACTATCGCCCGAGAAACTAAAGGTAGCTAGTGCAGAGTTTGAGCAGACGCTTGAACTTGGAATAATCCGCCCTTCCGATAGCCCTTGGTCCTCGCCCCTGCAGATGGTCCCCCAAGGAATCTGGTGACTGGCGCCCTTGCGGTGATTACCGCGCACTCAATCCCCTAACCGTCCCAGATAGGTATCCCATCCCCACATGCAGGACCTTACCGCATGCCTCACAGGTAAGATGATCTTCGGCAAGCTCGATCTGGTTCGCGCCTATCACCAGATAACTGTGGAAGACAATGACATTCCTAAAACAGCCGTAATCACTCCTTGCGGTTTGTTTGAACTTTTAGGGATGCCATTTGGACTGTGCAACGCCGAACTTACCTTCCAAGGCTTCATCCACGATGTCACTCGTGGCCTAGACTTTGCCTATTCCTACCTCGATGATATTTTAGTAGCCAATTCATCGGCACAAGAGCACCTCGAGCATATTCGAACGCTCTTCTAGCGCTTGACCCAACACGGTGTCACAGTGAACCTGACTAATTGCGAACTCGGCTACTCAACGGTAGAATTCCTAGGCCACCTCTCTTCATCGTCTGGTATCGAAGTCCTTCCGGATAAGATCCAGGCAATCAAGGAGTTCCCAGCTCCGAATTCGTTCAAGCACCTGCGTCGATTTTCTGGTTTGGACAACTACTATCGACGCTTCATTCCGCGCTGCGCTCAGCTCATGCAGCCACTGACTGACTTACTCAGAGGAAATGAACGTAAGTTCGCTTTCCCTGACACAGCACAGGCAGCCTTTGCCGAGCTCAAGGATGCTATCCCCAACATAGCCCTCCTCGCTCATTCCGAATCGACTGCACCTCTTTCTATTACGACTGATGCCACAGACGTCGCGGTAGGAGCCGTCCTCCAACAACACGTTGGTGGGCAATGGCAACCCCATGGGTTCTTCTCCAAACGCCTGCAGCCAGCGGAATCCCGCTACAGCACGTTTGGCAGAGAACTGCTCGCCATTTACCTTGCAATACGTCACTTCCGGCACACACTTGAAGGCCGCGCTTTCACGGTCTACACTGACCACAAGCCCCTTATCTTTGCTTTCAACTCTGCTTGCGTCAAATACTCACCACGGGAAACAAGACACCTAGACTTTGTCACGCAGTTCACTGCTGACATACGTCATGTCTCAGGTGTCGACAATCCCGTCGCCGACGCTCATTCACGTGTCAACCACTGCAGTCTTTGCCTACCGTCGACCTTGCCGCCATGGCAACAGCTCAGGCTCAAGACGAAACATATAGCGCACTCTGCAGTCCACCTCGCTGCATGTGCAACCTGTTCCTTTCCAAACCACGGAAGGAACCATTCTCTGTGACAATTCCACAGGTTGTCCTAGAGTCCTCGTACCCGTCTCCTTCAGACGCAAATTCTTGGACGCACTGCACTCACTATCACATCCCGGTATCCGTGCATATTTGAAACTGGTCACCGAACGTTTCGTTTGGCCACGCGTAAACAAAGATGTTCTTACCTGGGCTCGCGCCTGCCTTCAATGCCAGCGCTCTAAAGTACATCGTCACACCCGCAGTCCTCTTGGTTCATTTCCTGCCCCGCACTCTCGGTTCTCACATGTACACTTAGACCTGGTAGGTCAACTGCCTCCTTCACGCGGATTCGTTACATTATTACATGTGTCGACCGCTTCACCAGATGGCCAGAAGCCATTCCTGTAACAGACTGCACAGCTGAGACTGTTATCCGGGCCTTCTTGGACCGGTGGGTCTCGCACTACGGATGCCCATCCACCATCACAACTGACGGAGGAACGCCTTTCGAATCTTCACAATTCTATACGTCCTGCAACTTCTTAGGCTGTCGCCGCATTCATACCACAGCGTATCACCCAGCAGCCAACGGGTTAGTTGAACTCTTTCATAGACAGCTTAAAGCCACGCTATGCGCTGCCTCCGACCCTAGCTGGAGCGAAAATATTTCGCTCGTTCTCTTAGGCATTCGCAGCAGCATCAAAGCTGACTTGCAATGTGCACCAGCAGAGCTGGTTTACGGTTCGACGCTCAAGTTGCCAGGAGAATTTGTTTCATTTCGCTCATCGTCAGGTATGACTCCGCTTAGCTTTGCGTCCTCCCTAGCTCAACGCATGCGTTCACTACGCCCGACCCTGCTCCGTGAACAGACTAGAGATGTGCAAATGCACAGCGAACTCTCTACCTGCATTCACGTCTTCCTCCGCACCGACGCAGTGCGGCGCCCTCTCCAGCCTCCCTACACTGGCTCTTTCAGAGTTCTGCAACGGACTCCGAAACATTTTACTTTAGACCAGAATGGTCATCGAACAACGGTGTCCATCAACCGCCTCAAAGTGGCTTTCTTTGACGAGCCACTTTCAGCCCATCCTGACGCTCTCGCACAAGCACCCGTACCTGTGGTGACTTCCCGAGCACTGGATAGCCCGGAACCCTCCGTTCCCCTTGACCCGCAACCTATCCCTCCTCAACCCCAGGCAACCGACCGACGCGGTAGACAGGTTAAACGTCCGGTCCGTTTTTCAGATTTTGTAAAAGTTTGCTATTTCCAAGGAAACGACTTTTTCATCTTTAGTGGTTATCCTGCGTCTCATCCACAAACGTTTTGCAAAATCGACAAAAAACCCAAAACATTTTGAAAACCTAAAAGGCGTATTTGCTTTTATCATGCATGCCGTGTTGCCTCTCCTGCGTCAAGCCGCTTCCCCGACCCTTGCCCCTCCCGTCTGAGTTCTACCTTCCAGAAACTCGACCGCCGGAACTGCCCAGGCAACCCTGGAGTGGCTCGCCAGCCGTCCAACAGCCCCTTCCTCACCCAAGGAACAGACAGTCGCCCTCGACCGCAGACACCCACGAACGGATTGGTCCCCAACCGCCGCTTAGGCGTTGCCGACGAGGGTGCCGGATTTCTTCGTGGGGCGAGGACCGTGGACTAAAGTGCGGTGGGGGAGTGACACCTCCCAAGCGCACCGTCGGGTCTGCAGCAAAGGGAAGGTCCTGTCGGCCTTTTTTCTGGACTAGCCAGTATTTTTGCAGTCCGAACAGCCCGAGCCGACGGCCCACCGATGATGCACTTTGGTCTACACGATCGGCATAAATACTAAATAACAAAAGCCTGGACCCAGCGAACGCTACTACACACCCCACTTTGGAAGTCCTTACTCGAGCCCCTGCAAATATTCGCATCCACCCTTACCTCCCGTTTCCCCAATAACAGCTTTGTCGAAGGCTTCCATTCTTCAGCCTTCTAGGGGGAGGCCCTTGTAGTGTACCGGAAAACAAGCTCTTTCAGTATTTTGTAACGTTGGATTTTACGGTTGTTTTAACCTTCGAAACATCCACTTGTTTTACTGACTGCACGTCCGTTGACACAAAACCGTTTTGATGAGTACCTCGCTGCACGTTTCTCGCTCTGTCTGATTCGCTTCCTATTCTTGCAGCCTGCACAATATACTTTGGGTTCAGTCGCCTCCAACTTCTATACTGTCGTATTTGACACGTCTTACGTGTCCTTGCATACCGACTAGTATCCCAGGCTCCGCCCAACAATACTTTAGCACAGCGCACAACCTCACATTTCTTATGAGTGCACATTACCCTTGTCACTTTTTCAGCGGCTAAGTTTGTTGGGCGGAACCTGGGATACTAGTCGGTAAGCAATGACACGTAAGACGTGTCAAATACGACAGTATAGAAGTCGGAGGCAACTGAACCCAACGTATATTGTACAGGCTACAAAAATAGGAAGCGAATCAGAGAGAGCGAGGAACGTGCAGCGTGGAACTCACCAAAACGGTTTGTGACCATGGATGTGCAGTCAGTTAAACAAATGGACGTTTCGAAGGTTAAAACAACCATAAAATCCAATGTTATAAGATACTGAAAGAGCATGTTTTCAGTTGCACTACAAGGGCCTCCCCCTAGAAGGCTGAAGGATGGAAGCCTTCGATGGAGCTGTTAGTGGGGGGAACGGAAGGTGAGGGTGGATGCAAATGTTTGCAGGGGCTTGAGAATAGCTTCCAAAGTGGGGTGTAGCAGATTTCGCTGGGTCCAGGCTTTTGTTAGTTTTATTTATGACGATCGTGTGGACCAGAGTGCATCATCGGTGGGCCGTCGGGGCGGGCTGGTCGGACTGCAAAAAAAACTGGCTAGTCCAGAAAAAAGGCCGACAGGACCTTCCCATTGCTGCAGACCCGACGGTGCGCTTGGGAGGTGTCACTCCCCCCACCGCACTTTAGTCCACGGTCCTCGTCCCACGAAGAAATGCAGACATCCTCGTCCCTCGGAGAAATCCGGCCATCCTCGTCCCACGAAGAAATGCAGCCGTCCTCGTTGGCAATGCCTAGGCGGCGTTTGGGGACCAATCCGTTCGTGGGTGTCTGCGGTCGAGGGCGACTGTCTGTTCCTTGGGTGAGGAAGGGGGCTGTGGGACTTTTGGCGAGTCACTCCAGGGTTGCGTTGAGCCGGTTGGCGAGTCACTTGAGGGTTGCCTGGGCAGTTCCGGCGGTTGAGTTTCTGGAAGGTAGAACTCAGAGGGGGTTGGCAAGGGTCTGGGAAGTGGCTTGACGCCGGAGAGGGGACATGGCATGTATGATAAAAGCAAATACGCTTTTTAGGTTTTTCAAAATGTTTTGAGTTTTTTTATCGATTTTGCAAAACGTTTGTGGGTGAGACGCAGGATAACCATTAAATACGAAAAAGGCGTGTTAATGGAAATAGCAAACGCTTACAAAATCAGAAAAACGGACCGGACGTTTGACCTGTCTACCGCGTCGGTCGGTTGCCTGGGGTTGAGGTGGGATAGGTTGCGCGTCAAGGGGTACGGAGGGATCCGGGTTATCCAGTGCTCGGGAAGTCACCACAGGTGCGGGTGCTTGTGGGAGAGCATCAGGATGGGCTGCAAGTGGCTCGTCAAAGAAAGCCACTTTGAGGCGATCGATGGACACCGTTGTTCGGTGACCATTCTGGTCTATAGTAAAATGTTTCGGAGTCCGTCGCAGAACTCTGAAAGGGCCGGTGTAGGGAGGCTGGAGAGGGCGCCGCACTGCGTCGGTGCGGAGGAAGACGTGAGTGCAGGTAGAGAGTCCGCTGTGCATTTGCACATCTCTAGTCTGTTCACGGGGCGGGGTCGGGCGTAGTGAACTCATGCGCTGGCAGTGAAGGCAGGCGCGAGCCCAGGTACGAACATCTTTGTTTACGCGTGGCCAAACGAAACGTTCGGTGACCAGTTTCAAAGATGCACGGATACCGGGATGTGACAGTGAGTGCAGTGCGTCGAAGACTGTGCGTCTGAAGGAGACGGGCACGAGAGGTCTAGGACAACCTGTGGACGTGTCACAGAGGATGGTTCCTTCCGTGGTTTGGAGAGGAACAGGTTGCACATGCAGCGAAGTGGACTGCAGAGTGCGCTGTATGTCTTCGTCTTGAGCCTGAGCCGATGCCATGGCGGCAAGGTCGACGGTAGGCAAAGACTGCAGAGTGAGGTTGACGCGTGAGAGAGCGTCGGCGACGGGATTGTCGACACCTGAGACATGACGTATGTCAGCAGTGAACTGCGTGACAAAGTCTAGGTGTCTTGTTTCCCGTGGTGAGTATTTGTCGCTAGCAGAGTTGAAGGCAAAGATAAGGGGCTTGTGGTCAGTGTAGACCGTGAAAGCGCGGCCTTCAAGTGTGTGCCGGAAGTGACGTATTGCTAGGTAAATGGCCAGCAGTTCTCTGCCAAACGTGCTGTAGCGGGATTCCGCTGGCTGCAGGCGCTTGGAGAAGAACCCAAGGGGTTGCCAGCGCCCACCAACGTGTTGTTGGAGGACGGCTCCTACTGCTACGTCTGAGGCATCAGTCGTAATAGAAAGAGGTGCAGTCGATTCGGAATGAGCGAGGAGGGCTATGTTGGAGATAGCATCCTTGAGCTCGGCGAAGGCTGCCTGTGCTGTTTCAGGGAAAGCGAACTTACGTTCATTTCCTCTGAGTAGGTCAGTCAGTGGCTGCATGAGCTGAGCGCAGCGCGGAATGAAGCGTCGATAGTAGTTGACCAAACCACAAAATCGACGGAGGTGCTTGAAGGAAGTCGGAGCTGGGAAGTCCTTGATTGCCTGGATCTTATCAGGAAGGACTTCGATACCAGACGATGAAACGAGGTGGCCTAGGAATTCTACCGTTGATTTGCCGAGTTCGCACTTAGTCGGGTTGACTGTGACACCGTGTTGGGTCAAGCGCTGGAAGAGAGCTCGAAGATGCTCGAGGTGCTCTTGTTCCGATGAACTGGCTACTAAGATATCATCGAGGTAGGAATATGCGAAGTCTAGGCCACGAGTGACATCGTGGATGAAGCGTTGGAAGGTTTGTGCGGCGTTGCACAGTCCAAATGGCATCCTTAAAAATTCAAACAAACCGAAAGGAGTGATTACGGCTGTTTTAGGAATGTCATTGTCTTCCACAGGTATCTGGTGATAGGCGCGAACCAGATCGATCTTGCTGAAGATCGTCTTACCTGTGAGGCATGCGGTAAGGTCCTGCATGTGTGGGATGGGATACCTATCTGGGACGGTTAGGCGATTGAGTGCGCGGTAATCACCGCAAGGGCGCCAGTCACCAGATTTCTTGGGGACCATCTGCAGGGGCGAGGACCAAGGGCTGTCGGAAGGGCGGATTATTCCAAGTTCAAGCATGTGCTCAAACTCCGCCCTAGCTACCTTTAGTTTCTCAGGCGATAGTCGGCGTGGACGGCATGACACAGGTGGGCCATTCGTCCGTATGTGGTGCGTGACTTGAGCTGCCACGGGCAAAGCTGCGTTCATTGGCTGAACGAGCTTGGGATACTGAGAAAGGAGATTAGCGTAGGCTGACGAGGTCTGGGGAAATGCATAGACCGGGGATATAGATGTCACATCGGCGGTGATGCCACGTACGCTGAGTTTTGTTGCAGTGTCGACTATCATCTGGCGTTTCGCATCGACCAAGAGGTCGAAATGCCTGAGAAAGTCAATGCCGATGATGGCAAAGGGGACTGCAGCGACAGTGAATACCCAGCGGAACGTACGCCGAAGACCTAGGTCCAGGGTAAGTGACCGATGACCATAGGTGGCTATTGGTGTGCCATTGGCGGCACTGAGACTTGTCGACAGAGAAGTCGTAGGCTCACCTGGCATAGGGGGAATGACGCTGACTTCAGCCCCAGTGTCAACTAAGAACTGGGTACCGGAGTCATAATCCCTAATGTAGATGAGACGACTATGAGCTTTGCCGACGGTCGTGGCCATTACAGCCCGGCGTGGCGGATCATCTATAGCGGAGTAGCTACAAGGCTGCGCGCACTTACGAGCTTTAGTACCGAAACGCGAGTGGTAAAAGCAGTAACCCGAGGCATCAGGTTTTGTGCGACGGTGCGATGATCCGGAGCGGTTGCAGTGCTTACGTTTTAAGGTGAGTTCTTTGATCTGGCGCTGAAGCGACGCTATCTGCAATGATAATGCGTCTATTGCCGACGGCGGGCTAGTCGCGCCTGTCGTTGTGGTTGCGCCAGCGCAAAGCTGCTTAAGTGCTTTGGTTTCAGTCTCTGGCTGGTGCCGTTCGATGACGCGGTCTGCTAAATCTGCAATTGCTGTGATGGGCAAGTCACTTGCTACTGCAAGGATAGCCTGTGTGCTTTCAGGAAGGCGTTGCATCCACAGCTCGCGGAGAATCCCTACGTCCATGTTGGACGTGCCGATGAGCTGTTGCATTTCGCGCAACAAGGCTGAGGGCATCCTATCTCCTAGCTGCAGATCACTAAATAGTTGCTGCAGACGGACCTTGTCAGAAGGCGTGATTCGCTGAATAATAGCCTGTTTAAGTGTCTCGTATTTCATTACTAGAGGGGGGCAAAGTATGATGTCTCTCACCTGCGAGGATATACTATAAGGAAGGCAAGATATTAGCTGGTTATACATGGCGAAATCAGAAGAAATCTTACGAATATAAAATACGGATTCTAAATGTAAAAACCATAATAAAGGGTCATTCTCCCAAAAAGGGGGAGGGGCCAATGCAACCGAATTGACCATGGCAGGCTGAACGGCGTTAACCGCGCATGGAGACGGCTTATCCTCTAGATTATCCATTGCAAAAAGCAGATAAAAATGTGGTAGGTGAGAAAACAATATGATCACAAGTAATGAATCACAAAATCACTGGAACGAGCTCACCAGAATGAAAATGCAAAATGGCGGGCGGCGTGTTCCTGACAGGGGGTCACCAATTGTTGGGCGGAACCTGGGATACTAGTCGGTAAGCAATGACACGTAAGACGTGTCAAATACGACAGTATAGAAGTCGGAGGCAACTGAACCCAACGTATATTGTACAGGCTACAAAAATAGGAAGCGAATCAGAGAGAGCGAGGAACGTGCAGCGTGGAACTCACCAAAACGGTTTGTGACCATGGATGTGCAGTCAGTTAAACAAATGGACGTTTCGAAGGTTAAAACAACCATAAAATCCAATGTTATAAGATACTGAAAGAGCATGTTTTCAGTTGCACTACAAGTTATGGTAATTATTCTTTAGTGCTGTTTACTTCTCATAAGGGTTGCACAAGTTCCTCCGTTGAATTGCATAGTTCAAAATAATATGGCTTCTCGATCTACTTCACCGGTTAACGTTCAACGTCCTATCATTTCCGTTTCATATTTTTCTGCCTTGTTTTCATTTACTGCACGTTGCGGAATCCATGAGTTCCCCGTTGCAGCAAATGCTATTTCATAAGAATTCATCAAAGACGACCAACTACAGCACACCATACGAGGTAAGCCTGACTTATACATTTTTCACAGAGTTTCAACACATTTCCATCCATAGGCTACTTGAAATAGACTTACGTTATTAGACGACTAAGATATTTCACAGTTTAGCAAACCCTTGGAATATCGGTACTTCGCTGCAATTACACCGTTTTTCAGGGACATGTTTCCATGGCTAGGGCAAAATACTTTATTGCAAGCGTTATATTATTTTACCACGTTATAAACATATGCAGTGCATTCTGTTTGATATGGAAAGCTTAATAATGAATTCCTGTGTCTCGCGATTGCCATTTTGATGCATGCTGCTCCATTTCACATTAGCCCACAACAAAATTTCCGCCAGACCAGGATTCCAAGCATTTAATTTAACCCATAAGTTGGTGATGGTTTTATGGTGCGCCAGCCTACAAGTTAGCGATGAAGCTTGTGAAGGTGAAAAGGTATAACTAGTAGAGGTTGATGATAGATACGTTTAGCTGTTGCAATAAAAGAATGGCAACCTTGGCTCCTCTGATATTGTTCAAGTGGATAAACTGGGTAGTAATTCACTTTAGCGCCACCTTAGAAGCCGTCATAATAACAAACGATATGGATACTTTCATTCTTTTGGTGCGTTTGTTTTCCTGTATACCTGCGGTCACGGAGTAGAATCTAAAGAAATTGTTACTGACGACTGCAACATCATTTTACAAGCGACAATTAGTGACTACTTTTGCCCTCTGAATTAATTTGAAGGCGTATTCCTGGCTGCCAGCGGAAAAATGTTTTCGGGCTGCAACCAATCGCTCCCATTGTCCCGTAATTGGGTCAAGTGGGAATGCGTCGTTGGAAACCTGCCTCTGGTGTTTTTTCCGCGAACAGTAGAGGACTTCAGTCAAGGCCTGGACGAAATATGGTTGGCCTGGTCCCTCGAATTCTTGTGAATACTCATTTCAGCTTGTACCCACATTCAAGCAGCGTATGCAAATGTAGGAAAATGCAGTGATTCTTTTGCTCTTATTTCTTTCTTTTCCTAGTGCAACCTCGAGAATCTATTATCAGGTCGAAGTGCTGGAAGCGCTTCTCTTTTATTTGCCCACGTAATGCGAAGCCAGTTAAGCGAAACCGTAGCTCGCTCCTGGATGTTGTCGTAAACTTTTTGCGACTCCTGAAGCCGGTTAATTGCCCGCCTTTGGACCACTGGACGCTAATCACCAACTCGCCGTTTGCGTGCCACTACGCATTATTAAAAGCGAATTTACCTGATTTCTTGTTATTTGCTCATTTTGGTGGAACTTGACTGCGAGCTTTCGGTTTCCTAGTCGTTGTGCCTCTACTATTTCGCAAAGAACCCGTCGTCACATGCTTGGAGTTCACCTCGGCTTGGTTTCGCCTGTTACGGTTTGGTACGTCTAGTTCAATACATAGTTGTCACACTTGGTCTTCCCGACTGGTGCTGGTTGTTCGCATAGCTGCTCACCGTAAACCAGTTCATAACCTCTGCTTTAATGCTCTGCTGTCTTAGCTGATTGGTTGACC